GTAGTACCAGCGGAATGGTTTTTTGTCTCTGTAAAACCATGTCGATCTCACCGGATTATTCTGCAAACTCATATGTTGTCGTTTGATCTATAGTAACTCTAGCGGTACGTAAAACCGCCCACTACAGCAGGTGTTGCATTGGATGATAAAATTAAATAGTTACTATCTACAGTATTACTAGCTGCAGGTAGGGATTTTGGTACACTGCAGCGCCTAATGATTACGTTACAGAAACTAGTTTGACTAGTTGCAGCGCCCGATTATGCGGCCGTTGCAGCTAGTTTTAACGAAAACTAGTTGCAGCGGTCGCTAAATTGAGCGCTGCAGCTATTTGGGCAGCGGGTACTGAACACATTATACAAAACAGTTTGACTAGCTGTAACGCCCAATAAATCTCTAGCTGCAGCTAGTTGTACACTGTTTTATAGCGGTAATATTTCTTACCCGCTGCAGCTAGTATTGAAGCGGTTTAGCGAGTTTGTCCCGCTGCAGCTAGCTGCACCAGCTAAACTTTACTCTTTTAGCTAGCTGCAGTGAATGGAGAAGCTGGCGCTTCTTCAGCAAGTGCAGCTAGCTTATTTCTTATGAAATTTCATGCTTGGGCAGCGTTTTCTCTATATAGGAGTTTACACCTGAAGTATTTTTCAAGATTTTTTATAGTGGTTTGTCATAGAGAGTTTATTCTTTTTTTCTTTAAAAGAGGAAGAGAAACTACATCGCTTGAAGTATATTAAAAAATCTTGGGAAACACTTCAGGGTCCTTTTTCGACCTTGATCTTTGGAAAACTCCTGAACGGTAAGACTTGGAGACAAAAAAATTTTCTCATTCCCGTAACTCATTAAGCCAAACATTTATGGAAAGTTCCGTCAAGTACTTGGTAGAAGTAGTGTATGAAAATATCTCTATACTAAGTAGCTGACAAGGGAATCTCGCGAACTGTTCGATATCGATCGCGCTCATATTTTCCTTGATCAATAAGAAGAATAACCCTGAAAGGATTCGGATCGCGGCTGCTTGATTGAGGAGAAATGAATACATAATTTTTTTATAGGTATCATCTATATCTGGATAACAAAAGAAACACATTTTGAAGTTGAAATAACTAACGCATTTTATCTATGTCTGATTGTACAGTAAACAGTTTTGAATTTCATTTGATTCGACCATGAACAACATTACTCATTCAACCACTTGATGTTTATCATAACAGACCGCATACGTCAATAATCAGAAAAATTTATGATCAGGTTCGACTTAATATTAAAATTAACAAAAGCGAATGTAATAGTATTATTCGAGATCAGACCTTAACTTATTCCCAAATATGCTCAAAAATGTCCCACTGAATGATACAATATGAGTGTTAGAAAGGGGAATATTCTGAATGTGAAGCGAGTTCAATTCACATTTGAAAAACACAAATGTCATAATAAACATTGTATTGATTGTTTGATGATCACATGTGCATGATGCGTCTAGTGAGGGTGATTAATTTCTCAAAAATTGAATATTACCGTGTAGCGTGTTTTTGCACTTTCTCTGAATGTCGCACACAGTTTGACGTATCTGAGACGTAAGAACACGCTCAGAAAGAAAAGAACAGAGCGTAACTTTATCGTTCTTCTCTCATTTGTTTGATAAAAACATGGAAAAGACCTACTCGAAATGGAATGTATGCCTGGTACAGTATATTCTATTTGTCAATCATCAGTCGTCAAAAAAAACTTTTGTTTTTTAATTTAAAAATGAAAACAAAAAGTGATGATGAAATGCCGTAATGACGACAAGTGTATATGCTTTTTCTCCTACAATGGGCTTAAGTAAAAATAAAAGTAATTTTTTTTCTATTTTTTCGTATTGATTCAAAATTCTACCTGTATTTTTTAATAAAATAAGAATAAAACTCCTTAAATCACACTTTTATTTCCGAATATATTGCATGAAAAGATTTCATTGTTCTGCTGTCGGGACGCAGCTCAACTTTTCGGACGTAGTTTTTCTTGGTTGTTTCATGGAAGTCGAGAAGTATTTAAAACTCAAATCCAGTTGACTTTTCATCAACTCAACATCAGACGCTAAAATATAGGATAAGAAGGTTTTTGGCATCGCTGATTCAGATGCGCATGTCAAATCAAACCAGTAAATATTGATCAGTGCGTCGTTTCCTAGTAGATCCACCGACGGATTGACTTTACAACAAAAAGAAGATTGAAGAAACAGAAAACTAATAGTTAATTGTTCGTTAATTCGAGTATTCATTTGATTTGGATAAGGTAGTTAAAATATTACTGGTTGATCTTATGGAATCGAGATCGAGTCCAATAACATCATTGTGTGATACACAACATAGAAACCCTTTCCTAAACGATGTCGAGGAAAAGCAAGACATGGTGTCTAAACATCATTGTGTGATACACAACATAGAAACCCTTTCCTAAACGATGTCGAGGAAAAGCAAGACATGGTGTCTAAAATTGACGATTTTACTTTGATATCCATTAGGGTGGATTTCTCTAATTCAGTAAGGAAAAAATAAGAGAAGACAAACAGTAGTTCATATTTTCTTTTCTGTTATTTGTAGTATAAAAAGAAATCTGAAGTGCTTCCTTTTTAGGAAATTATTTTCGAACTATGAGCGAAGAAAAGAAAGAAATTTAAATAAACAAATGTGTACGTTCGTCTGACACACCGTATAAGTTGGAAAAAGATGGTGTACAATGAATCTTGTCATCGCTATCGCAATTTGCAATCATCGATTTTAATTTGGTTAACTTTGAATCCAGATGAAACAAAAATTCCAGAACTTCGAAAAATAATTAACTATGCCAAATTATTTAATGATGTTGATCTATGTAACAAATACATTGAAAGTGTTGAGGACGATGATAAAATTTATGTCATTTCAAACGTTCCTGATTATCATTCGAAAAAAGCTCGAATATATCCTTACAACACCGCAGATGAAGAATCTAGTAGAAATTTCGATGAAGCAATTAATGATATTAAAAATGATTATAATGTTCAACTAAATCCATTAGGAATAAATATTTTCAAACAATCAACTCATTTGAAATTGGGTAGTGAGTTTTTATGGTTTCAGTTTGTTATTGAAGAGCTAATCGATGTCGTCTACGATCAGGATAAAGCAAAGCAGGACTTAATTGAAATGTATAAACAATATTTTAATGGCAATGTTCAACAAGAAGAAAATATACAAAAATTTGAAAATACGTATCGATCAGAAAATGCTTTGCAATGGTACAGTAGATAAAATTTCTTTTATGATGTAGTTAATAAAGCATTGCATACACATGATATTGATACATTATTTTCATTAAGATTTTTCATAAAAGACCTTTACAATCAGCTGAAAGCTGAATAT